AACTCCACGGGGTAATACTACTCTGTCCTACAGGGTCACTATGAGTCGGAATTGACTTGATGGCAGTCGGTTGGGGACTGTGTGTGTTTGGTTGTTTATTTTAGGAGGCTGGAAGTCCAAATTCAGGGTGCCAACTCTAGGGAAGGCTTTCTGCCTCTGTTGGCTCTGAAGGAAGGTCTCTGTCTCTTCAGCCTCTCCTTCCTGGTTCCTTGGAGATCTCCGTGTGAATTGGCATCTATCTTACCCCACCTTCCCTCTGCTCACCTGTTGAATCTCTTTTATATCTCAAAAGAGCTTGACTTGAGACACGCCCCACACGAATCCTGCCCCCTTCACATGACAAAGACAAGCCGTTCCCAGATGGGGTCAGGACTCACAGCCACTATTTTGAGGGAACATGATTCAATCCATGGCAGCCACAATAGACGGACTATGGGACAGAATTAAAAGTCTTAAAAAGCCCGGACTTACCAGAATGGTTGAGACTAGAGGACTCCCCGAGACTATCGCTCTGAGATAAACCTTAATCCTTAACCCAGAGTCATCCCTTGAGGTCACCGTTTAGGTAAATAACAGATTGTCTCGTACAATAAAGACTACAACTTGTGAGTTATGAGCTACTTTAAAAGGCATCTATAGGAGACCCAATGGTCCAGAGTGCTCTCGGCAGAGATGAGAAGGTCAGGGGCAGGAGTACAAGCAGAACAGAGTGACCGAGGGTGGGGACACGTTGTGAGACGCGTAACCGACATCCTGAGTAATCTGTGTAGAAAGCGCAGGGAAACCTACACTGCCGTGCGAGCCTCCACCTTAAACACAATAAAGTATTAATTAAAAATAAATCCATAAAATAAAAATTGCACAGGGACTAATAAAACCTGATCATAACCATTTTAAAAAAAGAAAAGAGCTGAATGGACAAGGAGCCATACACGCGGGGGAGGCAGGTCCCTCTGCGGATCGATCGCTGAAGGACCAAGGATCGGCCCCCAGCAGGGAAGGAATGGACGTGGCCCAGGCCCCGCTGTGAACAGCCGGCCTCCAGAACTGAGGAATCGGTTCTGTTCCTTGAAGCCACCGCGACTCTGGCTCCTGGCGCCCCCGTGTGCGCCAGAGAGGAACTGCACGCCACCGGGTTCTCAGTGGCTGAGTGTTTGGAAGTCAGTCACCAGGAGTCTCCGCTGGACTTGAACGCCAGCCTGTCAGGTGGCAGTCAGATGCATTAACTGTTCACAACACCCAGGGACTCCAGCTCACTAAACTAGCCCGTTAATTCCACGAGGAAGGCCATGTTCTTCCCAGTTTACAGATGGGCAAGTCATGAGCTGAAGGCCCCATGGCCAGAAAATGGCCAAGGAGGGTTCAGACCACGCTCTGAAATGTA